CCTCCTCGTCGGCCCCAAATGCAATGTTCATCATTGCCCGTCTCAGAAATGTCTTGATATCATTTCTGGTCTCTACATCTTCTGGTTCCTCTGCCTTGTCGTCCTTGACGCCATGCCTACCTCACCTCACCGACCTTAGTAAGGCCCCTGGGCCTGTGCCTGTGCTGTGCCTGCCCGTACCTGCGTGAGGTCCAATGCTTCCCGCTTTCCCCAGCACACCCAAATCCTTAGCGGATGGCCAAAAGACCTAACTTTAGCAACAAGACAACGGCACTAACACGGGGCGAGAAAGCAGCCTAGAACACGCTGCGCCAGAAATCTGGACCGGCCATCGAGCGATCAGCACCTGGTGCAACACAAGCAAAGACAGTCGCCATTATGCACAAATATTCCGCTCCGGTTGCTGAGGAGTCACGGCCAGTGAGCTATGTAGATCCTCAGCTCCTCTCTCATCCTGGCGTCCAGGAGGTCCAGGCTCAGGCTCGCGCTCCCAGCGATGATTTGCGCCGTCACTTCATCATTCGTGTCCGCGACGGTTTTCCCTGCCCGCCAAACCGTTTTCTGCAGCCTGCCCCAGAATTACGGAGCCGCTACGGAGCCTACGGAGCCATTCGATTCAACCTCGAGACATGGCGATGTGTCGTCTTGATCGTCGTCGGTTATTGTCGACGGGGAAGGGCCACCTTTGGAACGTGGAACGTCAACGTCTCCCCCCGTCGGCCGACCACCGTTGCCTGTCGCCGGCATCTCGTCTCCATGAACAACGGAACAATACCAAAACAAAACGGAGCTACATGCCACGGACGACGGTCCAGACCAATTTAACAATGTAAACAATCAAAAGAGAATACGGAGCCAGGAAAGAAAGAAAAAATTCAAGTCGCACATGACGATGGCCTCACACGGACAGCCGTCTCGCCTCTGACTCTCATATCCGCGATGCAAGCGATTGGATTCTCTCTTTTTTTTTCTCCCCCAATTCAATATCACATCACCCACATACTTCTTCTCCCCTCCTTGCCTCCACTTCGAGCGGGCTCTAATGATTTCGCTTCCCGCTCTTGCAGCATGACTGCCCCTGAATTGGGTAGTCATCCCCGCGTTTCATTGGCTGCCCCCATCGGCAGCACGAAATATCATCACAGAAACCTTCTTTTGAATTGCTTCCCGCCCATTCTGTGCTTTCAGCTGCCGGCCAGTATCCGATTGAGGATGTCTATTGCCTCGGGCATATTGCCACCTTCTGCTTTCTCTCTGCTACGTATTTGAACGGCCATATGGGAATGGATCATAGCAACACAACCTTATTCGTGCGACGTTGCAGCAGTTCAATATTTCCGGGACCCTTCTTTTGTTTCCCCGGGATCCAACAGAGGTCCAGGCTAATGAGGGTGACGGAGGCTACATGCCATGTGCCATGGTACACACGCGAGAAAATAGAGACTAGAACCGGGAAACGGAAATCTCTTTTCAAGCAAGTGACCTTGCCGTCCAAGGTCGCAAGATTGCAAAATTCATCCTTCCCCTCGGCTGGGGAAATTAACAACACCACGATTCCTACGTCGATCCTGGAGGGACGCGTCAACGGCACTAGAATCGCAAATGCCTCTTTTGTTTTCCAAGATCAGCACTCAGCCCGCCCATCCAAAACCCCAACTTTACCAAACGGCTGGCTGTAAGGAACGGAACCTGTGCAAGGCTGATGCCCTCTCAATGGGCCCGCCTGTCTGCAGTCGTTGTGGTCCCTTCAATCCCTTTATTTGAGCTCCCCGACGTCACTCACACAAGCATCCCGCAAGTGGACAGCAAGTTTCGTTCACTGTGAAGTAACATAGTGTATTAAAGTGTACTTTTTAGAAACTCTACTAGTACGTAGGCTACCCTTATAACTACCCCCCTTCCCTTCCCCCTTCCCTTCTCCCTTCCCTTCTCCCTTCCTTTCCCCCTTTACTTCTCTTAGCTTTAATAATTAAGGAGGATTATAGTAATCGCTATAATTACTTCATTTTTATATTCTTTAAATTTATTTAGTTTATTAAACTTATTTTAAACCTTTTTTATCTTTTTATTATATCTAAGCTTTTCATAGAGATTTTTTTAATTTTATTTATAAATATTAATATTTTTAATATTACTAAATTTAGAGAAGAAGTATATAGTGATTTAGTAAATAAATATTTAATAGTAATACTTATCTTTAAATTTATCTAAAGACTTAATATTAGAACTTATGTTATTAATATTATTTTAAAACTCTTATTTATACTTTTTTATAAAAGTGATAAAATTAACTTTCTATTTTACTTTTTAATTTATTAATTTAGTAATAAATATCTAATAAGTTGAAATATAATAAGTTAATAAGTAGAAGAAAATTTATATTCTTCCTCTCATATAATTTTATATAATAAGTTATCTATAAACTATTAAAGTTATTAATAATATTCTTATAAACCTAGATTAAAGCTTTCCTAGTTATTATAAATAATATTATAGTATATAGTAAGTATCTATTAAAGTATAAATAGAATTTTCATTGTATAGCGTAAACCTCTACAAATTAGATGTAACTAGGCTTAAAGGGTAGAAGATGGACAGCAAGTTTCGCATCAAAATGTCAGATCGTTTCAGCCCGCTGCCATCATCCCTCCCACCTAGGCGTTCATCCAGCCTTCATTCGTTCGCTGCAGGACTCTCTCAGATGAACGCATTTTGCAAGTCTACGATACCACAGCCAATGGCAGGACGCGGGCACTCACCCATTCTAGTTATTCGGTCCCTGTGTGGATGCTGCTGCTGCCGTTGCTATTCGTACCGCCGATGCATTGACATTCGATGGGGTGGCACGTGTAAAACCCGAAATTTCGTAGGTGCCACAGCAATGCACAGTTTCTGCCCACTGACGTCCAACCGTTGGCACAATTGTCCCCATTTCTTTGGTTTGTTTTTTTTCTGCTTCGCCAATTGCTTCCTTTCTGCCCTCCCCACAATCACCTGCCTGCAAAAAAGAGTGCGAGATTCAGGAACGGCGTTACTCTCCAACTGGGCTTCTTGTGTCAGTGAGACATGTGGCTGTTTCGTGCAGACTCGGATGCACGAATGGGACCACCCAGAGGGCAGCAGGGTACCACATTAATTGGGGAGTCTTTTCGATACGAGGGAAACGCGGTCTTCTCTCGCGAAGCCTACCGCCGTAGTACGTTGGATACGATGCAGGTGGCAAAGGCCCTTCCAGAATGTTCAATTGGACCGTAAAGTTGGTGGCTGAAGGAATGGAAGCTGGCGCTGCGGCGCACGACAACCTCATCAGCCCTGGATGCGTTCCCAACCAAACAACCCGCATCTCGTCCGATCGCCTTTACATTGGGTCCAACCCGTCTGATCTCGCACTTCCATCGAGCCGCCCCAGCATGCAAATGCCGTGCCGCACACTGACTAGCCGCATACTTGCTGCCATGTCCTTATCACTGCAACAACAAGGCATCGAACTAGGAGCCTCAGTCTTGGCAGCATGAAATTCGGCCGTCGCAGGGCAGTTTGCTACCAAGACTTACACGCTGCGGCAACAAACAGCATTGCTGCAGCGATTCAGCCACCCCATTCTGCCTGGCGGGGGGCCGTAGCAACCAACGAGCGCATAACAAGCCCAACCAAGAAACCGACCAACTCTTCGACCAACATTTCCGGCATCCAATCCTTCTGTGCAGGTTTTTGATGTTTCCAGCAGATAGAGAGGTAAAGCATAGCCATTGCATTCTGCTCCAGAACCCGAGACAAAAAGCACCGACCCCCAATCAAGATCCCCCCCATTCAGCATCACCGCACCGGACACACCGCGCGTGGGGCCCCTCCCAACGGCCGCCTTGTAGGGCACTTGCTCACGATTAGAGTTGGCTTGTCAGTGTCAGATAGGCATTGCCGCATCGCCACAACCTCCCCGGCTTCTGTTGCCTGGCAGGAAGGAAGAGAGAGAGCTTAGCCAAAGTCACCGTTTTAGACGGAGTCCTGGCACCGTTGTTCGTCGCAGGATGCCAGTTGAACAAGATTCAACATGATTCTAAAAATGGCCCTTTTGTTGCCTCAACCAACATCCCTTCGCGGCGAAGGCAAAAAGCTTGCCGCTTAGTAGGCCGGGCCGCGGTAAGGTAGCCGACGCAGCCGCAGCCGCAGCAGTGGGGAGCAAGAGACGAACGACATCACACAGACGTTGAACAACGCAACATCGCCAACCAACCTTATCTTCACCAACGCCACACATCACGTATGCTTCACTCTCAAAGCCTGTTCAGCTGATATGAAAAATCAATTCCCCGAGTATCTGAGTAGCAATTGTGGTATATTTAGACTGCCTGCCGTCCTCGTGATCCCGGCGATTCGTCGACAAAGACTTTCTTTCCGTCGGCCCCGCCTCCCACACAGGCCCCGTTCCTGGAGGCGCAGCTCCGAAAATACGCCATCCATCGTCAACGCCACCTTCCGACCTCCCCACAAGCCCGTGATAAGGTCCTGCCGAGGCTTAGAATTCTGGTTGCCCGGTGAGGTTATCGTGACGTTTCTGAAAGCGGTCTGTTTGACCGAAGCACGCTCGGGGCTGTTGGGAAGAGTTGCGTCATTGTGTGCAGGTAGAGCTCGTGTCGCTGCCCCTCCATCGTACCCCTCATCTGTCGCCCCTCAGTAGCACCAAGAAGTGTAAGAATAGCTTCTTGCGTGAACCCCTCCGGAGGCCTAGACACGAAGCTTCTGCGTAGTGAAAGTCTCTCTTTAGACTCCCATGTCTAATAGGTTGGTAATTATCATGGTCCGTTGTCGCCATGTCGGTAAGGTCACGTCTCCAGAAGACGTGGCCACATATGTGTTGTTTTTAGAACAGCGTTGGTTCGTCGATAGCTGATGCGGCGGCTGGCAGCCGAATGGTTCTCTAAGCCCGGTTGAACGTTCTCGTGATCCTCGGCACCACCTATTACAGCGCACCCGGAAGCTTGGCTTCGTCTGTATGTGGCTCATCGTCTCTGCCCACCGAACTGTGCCCGCAGAGCCAAAATCTGCTGTCTCTCTGCTTCGGGCAACATGTTGATTGTCTCCATTGGCAGCTCCAGGACCTGTCGCATCAACGCCTCAGGATCCTGACCCAATGCCGCCGCAGCGGCCGGCGGCGGAGGCGGAGCACCATAAGCTGCCTGCTGCGGGGGCGGCGCGTACGGCGTACCGGCAACCGGAGGCGTGTTGTTGGCGCCCGGCACCGGAACCGGAGGGAAGCCGGGGGCGGGCTGAGGTGGGTAGCCCATCGGCGCGGCCTGAGCCGGGGGCGCAGCGGGCGCACCACCGGGCTCAAGAACGGAGTGGATTGCCTCCGGAGATACGAGACCCATGAGGAGGAGAGCCTGGAAGACGGCGTAGGCCAGCTGAGGAGCTTGCTGGAGGAGTTCCGTCGCGCGAGCAGGATCGCTAGAGGCCAAGGCCTTCATTTGGGTGAGGATGTCCAAAAGCTGAGACGGAGGGAGAGTGTTGAGTGTGCGGGAGATGGCGTCCGTTGCTGTGACGTTGGGCGGGAGCTCCTTGCCGGCCGGCAGAGGGGGAAGGTTGCCTGATGGTGCTGGGGGGGCTGCTGGGTTGTAGCCGTTTGACGGGTGTGAGGCGTTACCGCCATCTCGGCCCTGTTCCAAATGTCAGCCTGTGTCTCTTTCCAAGTCCTGCCACCCGTTTCCAAACATACATGGCCATGAGCATCGTTGTTGTCGTCACTGCCTCCCTCATTGGAGAAGTCGACTCTCAATTTCCTTCCCATAATCTCATAGTCGTTCAGGTTACGGACCGCAGACGCAGCCGAGTCTGAAACATCGGTTAGCCCTTGAATTCCATCGTGTGCGCAACCATATTACCATTGTCCGGGTACTCTGCGAAGCCGAAGCCCTTGGGTCGGCCAGTCTCGCGGTCGTAGACTAGGCGGAAGTTGAGCACCTTGCCAGCGCTACTGAAGATATCACTGATCTGCTCCTCGGACAACCCTATCGAAATGTTCAGCGCAGGCTTTTCCGTTGAAGATATATAACCCACCGTAGGGGATGTTGCCCACAAAAACAACTCTGGAAGGTGGCTTCGACATCTTGCCGCCGATTCGGGAAGTCGATGTAGACTGGGTCGACGATAGTGAATCTTGTGACTCGCTCGTCAGGCGCTGCAAAGCGTCGATGACGGTGCTTCGTAGATTTCACGCGCAGTTTCCTAAATTGTGGGGGGCTCGTTGTCTGTTGACGCGTGACTCGGGTTAGATTCGGGGTCGTGACGCGACTTTCTTGAAGGGTTTCTTGTTGAAGTTGATTCTTGATCCGACAAGCGCATCAGCCTTGGTTGCCAGGCTGGGATTTTACAGTGGGGCCGCGCAGCTTGAGCACGGGCCATCCCGCGGGACCTCTGTCTTCTTTCGTTCTGGATTGCTTCCAAATCCGCACGGCATCTTCCATTGGACGTCGGCCGACATTTACCCAGGAACGCTGGAGCTGGCCCCACTCTGCCCCCGTGCGAGACCCCTGAACCCGCGCTGCTAGCGCAATTGGGACCGTGAGGGACTGCGTGGCCAGAAAATAAGTGAAGGTGGCCTCTACGACTTGCGCCCAGAGCCTTTAGTCTCGACCAACTGCCTTTCTTCCCATGACAGCCGCAGCAACAGCCTTGGTGCGAGCCGATTGAATTCCGTTCTCTTCTCATGGTTCAAGCGGGGTTCTTCACTTCTTGACATCACCTTTTTCTCAAAGAAGCCGACACTCCTTTCCTTTTCCTTGGCGCAATCCGTCGCAAAATACCCGCGAGACTTGCTTATTCCCTGCTTCGCAAGGCCCACGAGGCTGTTCGCAACTTGTGATAAAGATCGACACCAACATCCCGCCTCCAAACTTCCACCATGCCGGCCAAGTCGAGATTTACGAGGCTTGACGCCTTCACCAAGACGGTGGACGAGGCGCGCGTTCGAACTACGTCCGGCGGAATTGTCACCATTGTGTCGCTAATTGTCGTCCTTTGGTTGGCTTGGGGAGAATGGGTCGACTACCGGAGGATAGAGATTCACCCCGAGCTCATCGTCGACCAGGGAAGAGGTACGGACTTGAATGAGTCTCTTCATCTTGTGCTGTGTGGCAGTCCAAGCTAATGCGCAATGGTACAGGCGAGCGCATGGAGATCCATCTCAACATCACCTTCCCCAAGATGCCCTGCGAACTTCTTACCCTCGATGTTATGGATGTTTCCGGAGAGCAGCAGCACGGTGTCATGCACGGCGTCAACAAGGTCCGTCTCCGCCCTCAGAAGGAGGGAGGCGGCGTCATCGACGTCAAGGCCTTGAGTCTGTAAGTTGCCCATTGCCCCTGAACAAAGGCAACGGCCCGAATCGCAAGACTGACACAACCCAAAAGCCACTCCAGCGACGAGGCTGCCGAGCACCTGGATCCCAACTACTGCGGCCCCTGTTACGGTGCCCCGGCGCCGCCTAACGCGCAGAAGGCCGGCTGCTGTAACACTTGCGAGGAAGTCAGAGAAGCGTACGCGCAGGCCTCTTGGGCGTTCGGTAAGGGAGAGAACGTCGAGCAGTGCACGCGCGAGCACTACGCCGAGAAGCTGGAGGAGCAGCGCAGGGAGGGCTGCCGCATTGAGGGTGGCCTCCGCGTGAACAAGGTTGTTGGAAACTTCCACTTGGCTCCTGGCCGGTCCTTCAGCAACGGAAACATGCACGTCCACGACCTCAAGAACTACTGGGAGACTCCCGACGATGCCCAGCACGACTTCACCCACGTCATCCACACCCTCCGCTTCGGTCCCCAGCTGCCCGACACCATCACCAAGAAGATGACGAAGCGCGCCTACGCCTGGACTAACCATCACGGCAACCCCCTCGACAGCACCCACCAGGAGACCAACGACCCCAACTACAACTTCATGTACTTTGTCAAGATTGTCCCCACATCGTACCTCGCCCTCAACTGGCAGAAGAGTGCCTCTATTCAGGACGAGGAGAGCTCTGGTCTCGGTCTCCTTGGCCACCTCAGCGACGGCAGTGTCGAGACTCACCAGTACTCCGTGACGAGCCACAAGCGCAGCTTGGCTGGCGGTGATGACTCTGCCGAGGGACATCAGGAGCGCCTTCACTCTCGTGGTGGTATTCCGGGTGTCTTCTTCTCCTACGTAAGTTCCAATTTACCCCTATTCAAGCATCCATGACTAACGTTCCTCAGGACATCTCCCCCATGAAGGTCATCAACCGCGAAGAGCGCGCCAAGACCTTCACTGGTTTCTTGACCGGTCTCTGTGCCATTATCGGTGGTACCCTCACCGTCGCTGCCGCCGTTGACCGTGGTGTTTTCGAGGGTGGCCTGCGTCTTAAGAAGATGCGCTCGAAGGATCTGTAAGGGGTTGTAGACGGGGTTGTATGTAGCTATATTTGTCGACATTTCTCACACGCTGTGCATCAAAATTGGAGTTTGGGTGGCTTGGTAAAGACGGAACATTACAGTCGATCGATATATCAAATGCGAATAGAGCACAGACTAGTCTCGGTCCGCCAGCTTCTCGTGTCCTCAAGCAACGATGCGCTACGCCTCTGTCATCATCAGTTGGCATGAATATCCACTGGTCCGGGATGCGCATTGCGACGTCTTGAGGAAAGGCATGTTGTTTCCGAACATGGAAATCAAGTGCTCCTTGCCACGAGTATATCCGTTCCCTCTATTTCCCTGCATGTGGGCAGTATCGGATTCGAGACGCTGTTTGCGGAGACCAGGCGACCTGTCTGCGTCGATACCAGACCGTCTTGGAATGCCTCAACAGAGTCTGGGCGTTCATACGGAACCTGAAACTGAACTGCAAGCTCTTGGACGCCGATAATCTAGGGAGGCTTGGTAATACAGGATATTGAGTCGCTCCAAAAGCGTCCTTCTTCTCTTCTGCCTTTTTTGTTACAGTTTGCCGCCTGTGGGCGCACCTTTTTGACTGCCATATTTCTCTGTCGGGGAAATATGCGAGGGCAAGGAGCGTATGAATATTTTCAAACGCATTTGTATAGCTTGACATGCAGCAAGTGTATGTTAGCTCCATCATAGGATGATACACCCAACGAAAGCCCAAAGACCCCGCAAGTCTCTCAAGAGACTGTAGTGTCGTTCGCAACATGTTCTTCAAACGATCCCTGGCGTTGCGACAGCGATCCAACTGGAAATGAGCACTCTTGCGCAGGATTATTGGATGACCAAGCACGAGAAATTGCGTTACAAATGCTTCTATTGGTATTCGGGAGTGCTAGGCAGCCTGGGTTATTGAGTAGTGTTTGGCAAGTGGCCACTTCGTTGACCTGTTAGGTCTTTATTTTATCTAAGATGCAAAATCTTTTCCCTTGGAGCCTATGACATTCTTGTTCTATCAGAAAGATGTATCGATCGTTTCATCTGTCCACCCTCCAATGTCTGACGAGTCGAAAAGATCTTCCCAGCATCCCGAAGTTCCCACGTCCACCTTTCGGGCAGCATTTCTTTGACCGATAGTGAAATCACCAATGCTGCCAATATGCTCACTGTGTTCATAATGCGCTGAAGTCACTGGGAGTGAAATGAATGGGTGAGACTATGCTGGAATTTGAGCCTCCGGTATCTGTGCATTCACGAGTGGTCGTGCCGAGGAAATTTCCCACGGGTTGTCCGGCCCTTCCAGAGGTGGTGTCTCTTGATCTTCGTGGGTGTCTGAGTCTTCCATAGAGTAGACCCGAAAGAATCGACCGAGAAGGTTGTCCATCGCGTCCATCATGACCGACGGATTCGGCGAAATCGAATTAGAGTCATCGTAAGTCATAGAAGCAAGCGACCTTTGATGCCTTCTCATGGTCTCTGCTACAATCTCAAGGCCCTTCTGGTCCCAAAGTTCCCTCATGCCTGTGATTGCTTCACGCATGGGGTCTTCAACGTAAGCCGAGGATGGACGTGGCTTTCCCTTGAAGACCACATCCCACATGGCGAACCATTGATCACTCAACTCCATGTTTCGGTCGGCCCTTGCAGAGAGTGTCTCTTTCTGGTCATGGTTGATGCCATCAGGTCGTGGGTAATCCCGTATCTGGCATAGTTGAACCCTAGAATGCTTCATTTGCCGTTCCTGGGTGTCGAATTCTAAGCCACAGCTGGGGCAATAAGGCGGCTGCATGTGCTTCCTGTTGAGATGCTGTTTTACATCCTTGATTCTTTTGAGCTGAAGTTTGAGGCAGTCTTGGTATTTGCCCCTGTCCGACTTGTAAAATGGACAGGCGAGATGAAGCTCCCTATCGTTGCCTCTGTTGCGCCTCTCTGATTGCCGTTTAGCCTGACCCCTGCTAGGGGCATTATTGCCATCATCGCGCCAGCGTGTGCTGATTTCGGCATCGTTCTGTTCCAATGCCGATGAGAGAGTGTCGTGGGTGGCGTCTCTGCCAGTCAATGGCTGGGACCAACCCTGGCGAGCGTCCATGGCATTAGCCCCAGTGGCCATGATTTTGTAGGACGCAGATTGATCCGGAGACTTCCTGAATTGAAAGGTGTGAGTATATTACACTTCAGAGAGCAAAAGCCTCGACGATGTAATCGCACTCACGCACAAGTCTGGATCCCTCACCCTCGGCAGATCGAGTTTTGAGAATACTCTGCAGGAATATTTGCTGCTGGAGAAACCTGGGATAAGGCCAGAAAGGTAATGTGAAGGCAAAGCCTGGTTGGTTGGAGGGCGTTATATGTGGGGACCAGACCAGGCTTTCCCGTGATGGGCTTTGTTGACATGGAGGGCCGGCCGTCGCCATGGTAACTATTTTCTACGATTGAGTGCGGCGTACCAGTTGGACCTGCCAGAGGATTGTCGTCTTTGACGTCTTCCGGGCATGCAGTTGGGTGGTCTCGTCCTGCAATTCGCATTGGCCCGTTAGAAGGAACTGTACATACTGCACAGCGGTGAGGTGTGAATGATTGAGACGTTCGACCAATCAAATTAGATACGTGAGTCGTGACACCACACGCTGTATGTACTAGAACGCTGTAGACAAGGGGAAGCTGCAGGCGTTACTGGTGGTAATATGGATCTATGTTACCACCACCGCATGAATAGCTCAACCCCTTCAATTCCCAGAGCGAATCAGAGTCAGTAGCCAGCACTGTCGGTCTCGCACTATCACCCATAGACTGAGGGCATGAAGGGCACTGCAGCCTCGACGCTAATCGTTGCTTGAGTCCGTAGTTCTTTGCTTGGTGTCGACTTGAGAGTGAGGCAATGATGCACTGAAACGAAAGTCGATGATGCTTCACCGCATGATTCGTTGCTCTGCGTGCATGGCACCTGACCCCCATTGCCCTGTGTCATCCATGCTCCAGTTCATTGGACCGACCACCTGTCCTCGTCAAACGACGGAAAGACTTCAAGACTTGGCCTTAGCATAGGCTCGGTTGCGTATAGCTAGCTGGGTATGTTGAGGAAGTTTCGAGCCCACCTAGTAAGGGTCTTCACAGTAGGGGAAAAAGCAGTAAAAGCACCTCAGTCAGTGCCCAGTCTAACAGCTTCGCAGTATACATACTTAAGGGTCCGGAATAACTACCCGCGCCGACCCTAACTCGCAAAGCGAAAGTCTCTAGGCTAGACGTATATACTATCTATCATAGCGCTCGTTAACGATAGCTTCGTTACTAGCAAGGTCGATAGCCTCGCCCACGTAACTCACGCTATATAGAGATAGCTTCACAAGGTCTTCAGCCACGGACAAGCTTATCTTAGCCACATACTTAAGACGCCGCTACTCGCCAAGCCTCAAGCCCATTCCTCATCCTCAATCCCTTGTCAATACCACTAGTTGTTCAAACAGGAGTATAGCTGGGTATAGAAAATAGTAAAGTGGAATGACCAAGGCGATCACAGGCCTTCAAGGCGCAGCATGTGCATACATACCTCAGGTGCGAGGCACCAATAGGGCGTTCTTTGATATATTGCCGTAGTGGCAAGCAGTCAATTTTGCGAGGTAACCCGGACGGAAAACCCGTTTCAAGTCAACACCGAAATTTTACATTATAATATGATCGAAAGACTGGTGTACAAGCACATGTTCCGTTTACCATCCGTGAATGCACCAATCTAGACTAAGGCATCGTATGCTTTTGGCCCGCCCAAACTCCAACTCTAGCACCAAATCCAACAACGCGTAAGCTCTCCCCTTTATACAATATTGTAAACCCGCTTCGCAATCATGTAACAGGCCAGTCCGAATGCCAACAGGCCAGCGGTGATTGCCCAAAACCATTTGAGGTCGCCCTCGTATTCTTGGCCTGGAACCCACACGTTCATACCCCACAGACCGGTGATGATATTCATGGGCAACACAATGGTACCCAATACTGTGAGCTTACCGAGAACGTCGGCGGTCTGCTCCTGTCGTTCGTTCATGCGGATGTTAATCTGGGCAAGGTAGTTGCCGTGAGACCGAGCGAGGATCCTAAAGAGTTGTGTGGTTAGCTTAATTTCTCAAGGCTGATGTGTTTTAAGCTTACTTCTCATAGTGACTGAGGTTGGACGTCATCGTCACAATATGATCCTGAATATCGCCCAGATACAGTCCAATGTCAGACCTCGGGGCGACCTCCCAACGCTCGTTGCAGCGCTTCGCAAAGCCCTTGATAACGTCTGCCTTGTTGCCGAGCAGACGGTAAAGACTCATGACACGCTTGCGGCAGTCACCCACACGTCGAAGCATGTCTCCCTCTGATCCTATGGTTGTTCCTGTGCTGCTTGCCTTTTCGTCGCATTGACTCTTCGAGTCATCGGAATGAGAGTGCAGCCTCAGAATAGCATCATCAATGTCGTCAACCTCATCCTCGATATTCTGAATCAAGGGGACGAAAACGTCGGTGATATCGTCGATGATGGCGTACGATATCCAATCAGAGTTAACAATCAGGTAGTCCTTCAGCTGGCGAATTCTCCGGCGCACGTTGGCAGGGTGCGGCGTCATGGAGAAGTGGAAGCTAATGACACCCTCACGGAACACGATGACGTACATGTTGACGGGCTCCAGGTAGTCTTCACTGTTCTGATCCTGATCGAAAGATCGGTAGTTGACGAAGTAGTAGTGGCGAAACAATTCCACCTTCTCTCGCGCCTCCTGGACCATGATATCTTCGGCAGTAAGCGGATGGATACCGAACGCCTTGGACAGCACCTTCATCTCCGCCTCAGTCGGGCTGAGAACATCCAGCCACCAGACAGGTCGCTCGCCGTACCTCGGCGTCTTGACCAGCAACTCTGGCGTTTGAGTTGTTTGGTTGCCCACGACTGGTGACCTAACGCCTGTTGGAGTACGGTGAACAGAGCCAGCTCGTGAGCTGCCACCTGAAGTCTTCTCTGGAGAGGCGACACCATGAATGGGCTGGGTGTTAGCCAGCGACGGCTGTCGCGTAGGTGCTCTGGATTCACCATTGTGAACACTCTGTGAGTGATGGGTGTTCACATGAGACAGAGGTACCGTATCGCCTTCCTCGTCGCTGTCCTCGCTCTCATCATCGGAAAGGATGCGGGGATCAGGGATGAAGAGCTCTTGGAAGTTTCCACCTGGTTGCACAAGTTCCGAAATTGTCTGGCTGTGGATTGTGCTCTGGAACTCTTCGTTGAAATATGTGAATCGGTATGGCGACTCTTCCTCGGCGCGGTACCACTCCCTGGTGACTGGACGTAGACGTCCATTGATGAGCTGCGGCTCAGTGATGCGCTTGACCCGCCGTTCATCCGAACGTCCTTCCTTCTCAAATCGGCTCCATTCCTCGAGCATTGCCAAATCAGGCCAGCGGCGGCGACGTCGTCTCGGGCGGGGCTTCGCTTCGGGGTCCTGGGATGAGTGCATTTCCTCCTCTCCGATCTCGGATATCCCACTCGGGAAACAAACATCTTCCTGCGCAGTCAAGGCGATCGTGTTTCTCCGCGCCAGATCAGGCGATGAATCCATGCGAGGTTCATGGTCGGAATGCGAGCACCCACTGTCCCTACGGCTGCCGCCGCGCGGAGACACTTGAATGTTAATCTCGTCATCGTGGATCATGACATCCCCAAAGCTCAAGTTCAACGGATCAGATGGCCTGAACTGAGGCGACCCGGGCATCGAGGGAGGGTAATTAACATTATAGCTCTCATTCGGGAACGACGGTGCAAGCTTCGTTCGTGAGGACCGACTGGATCCGCGACGACTGACGCGTTGACGAGGATCGCTGGAGCCGTAGCTAGGGAAGATCGGAGCTGTTGCGGTACGCTGAATTGACTTGGACAAGAGAGGAGCACCCTCATCCCACGACTGTTCACCTTCCTCGGCGCTGTCACCAATGTAGGAGTTTCGCAATCGGCTGCTCGTCTGCGGCGTGGCCGAGGGAAACCCACCGCCGGGCGTCATGATCGATGGCCGCCGGGTCCGGAGTGATTGCTGGTCTCTTGAAGTTGGTGTCAGTATGTTTCAACCCTCGAAACAAAAATGTAGTAAATTTGCCAGCTTACCGGTGATCCAGGAGTGCCTCGCTCTCAATGCTAGTATTGCTCAGATTAGAGCGATGGAGGTAGAACTCGTCGCGGTCGTTGGAGGGTGCCGGAGCTTCGTCGTGGGACTCCTCCGGTAAGACAGCGAAGGACTTGCGCCGATTGCGCTTCTTCTTGGCTCCGCCACGGTGATTCTTTCGCCGACGAGGCTGATGCTGTCCGTTCTGGTCATTACCGTTCGCATTGCCAGACGGGGTGACGGGGGGCGGTGGTGGTGCTGTCGAGCTTGACCCTAGCGCATTGGACTGTCTCCGGGGTGTTGGTGTTTGGAGATGCGCAGCTAGGGGCTGGAACGGGTTGCCAGACATGTTGGCAGCGGGAGGAGTAATATGTCACACCGTCTCCTTGCAACGCTTATGTACGCGATGCGGTGGTGCCGTGGGTCGGCGTCGAGTAGACGCAGGCTAGGCGTGTACCGTGGGCCGACTGCCTGGGGGAATTTGGTGGCGACGGGGCTTGATTCCACGTGAAGGAGACGAAAGACTCAGAGCGGACTGGAACTGCGGTCGATGGGGGGTGGGCTTCAGCCGTGTTTGCGTTTTCTGTGGAGCGAGCTGGGAATACAGCTCAATGGGAGAGCAGCAGGCCGGACGGAGATAACGACGATGTCGTCTCGGAGGCTCTGCAAGGATGTTTTGGACCTTGGTAGACAGCGAGGCGAGCAGAAATACGTGTCAGTGGAGCCAAGCTGTCGAAGGATGCGTGAGGTCGACCGATTGGCAAGGGACGGGAAGGATGGAACGATAACATGTAAGGCACAGCGGACGAGCAGGAAGAGTAGTAAAATTTGCGCCGTCCTTCGTTGGCTGACTGGCCGGTTGGTGGTGGTGACTTGCACCAGGAGAAAAGTCTGCCGATCGAATGGGAATTGGAGATAAAAGGCGATGCATCCGTTGCTTTCGGTGATGTCAGTGGGAGACTGGAACAACCCAGCGCCCCTAGGCCCTTCCAAAGGCTAAGCTGCTTTTAGCGCATCCAGGACCCAGCACACACCTTGCTGAGACCCCGCCTCATTGGCTCCATTGGCCTCTGAGAGGTCCGAGAGCAGCGAAGAGCTTGCGCTCCCAGCTCGCCCCCGATCCACGCACTGCTTGTGACTGGCTGCAGCGCCCTCGACCGGCCACCTCCGAGCATTTAGGGCGTCTGCCGGTGAGCGTACAGCGGGCTGGGGGACCACTGAGCTGCCATCCCCGCAGTTGCAGTGGGGTCGCAGCGGTGGTCCAGAGCCGCTGTGGCTCCCAGATTTTCCAAACGGGGCACCCCTTCAGCGATGTTGCGCAGCAATGCGTCAGTCTCCAGGTGTTCCTTCGCCTGCCCGCAGTCTTCCTTGACGCATGATTGACGCTGCCTCCACCAGGCACCTCGTTCCGCCGTCTTAAACTGGACCTACCTTACCTGCACCTCTCTGGTCTCAGGTAGCACATTCTGCCTGGACGGCACTTTGCCTCACCGCTCAGTCGTCCTGGTTGCTTCGGGCAGGTGAGCACACGACATTCCAAAGCTCAAGGTCTGGGCGCCGCTACCGTCCCAAGAAACCGTTTCGACCATGTGAAGAAACAACCAAACCCCCCGGTACCGGAGAAGCTGTCGGGGTCTGGGACACACCACAAAGACGGCAGTCTTCATACCTCTCCTGAGTGCTTGAGCCAAAGTCGTCCGATCTCGATGTTGCTGTGGGTGTGCCACATGGACAGGAACGGCTGCAGCGGGAGCAAGATGATGACAGAGTAGAGCTGTAAGAACAAGGCAGGTACGGAGGAATAATTGACGACCTAAGACAGCGTGGTCGCTGTAGGAGCTGCCCATCGGAAACCGGCAACTAGAATTCATGCTTTGACGGAGACTCGGGGGAGCGGATCTCCAATATGCAAAATCGAATGTACGACATGACCTTACTCGACCTTATTTCAAAACTCAAACAACTACCCTAACCCAGCGGAGCTGAGCTGAGCTCCCTCGTTTGAGTAGCCCTTTCAGAGCTAATTCGAAGAAAATAAGTCGGACAAGATTCAGGGAGTTGCCCATCGTAGTGGTGTCGGCCAGGGTTCAGAACATCGGCGTCCTGTATCATGTATAAGTCATTTCAAGCTCGTCACCACAATCGCCCTTTTCAATCCCATCTTCACACGGACAAGCGGACTCTGCACTTTCCTGGGGTAAAATGCGCCTTTTTGCGCTATGCTCTCAGAGCTAGCCACGCGCCATGACGATCTGAAATATCTTACTTTTGTAGTGCCGTCTATGCTTTTGACCATATTACGCCCCAGCATCGATATGCGATTCATACACAAGGAAATTTTTGGTTGACCGTAAAAAAGACAACATCTCCGCCTCTTTTTCCGCTTCATCATTACGCGCCATTTACTCAAAACTCCACAGCTTCGTCAACAAGGTGTCTTGGACACCGGATTCCGGTTCGTTCGGCAGGAACACCCTCTTCGGGATCTGAAATTCAATCACCGGTGGCTTCTTGACCTGCTTGGTCATCTCGGCCTCGAGCAACTGTGACAACGTTAGATGCATTCATCCGAAAGTGCACTGGAAGGCAACTTACACTGCTGTACGAGTGGTCTAGGAAGTCTTCAATGTTGTAGGACTGCTTAGTGAACTGCTCTGACAGGATCTTTGCAATCGTCGCTACGTTGGGGTGGTAGTGCGTTTGCAGCTGAACAATCTCCCACAAGCAGCTGTCGATGGCATTTGTCTCCGTCGGATCCGCCTCATCCTCTACAAACGGGTCGTTAACGCCCTGAGTCTCCATGAGAGCCTTGATTTCCGGTTCTCTCGTCTCTCTGTGGAGCATGAAGGTGCACTGCGGATGCCTCTTGAAGATGTTGTACATCCAGGGAACGATGTAAACGATGGCGCTCGGAGGCGCGTTGAGGCTGAGCCTCGCCAGCCTCTTGATGAAGCTTGCCACGAGCACAGCAGGCAAGTGGGTCGACGCCAGAAACGTGTCCATGAGACGGAAGAATCTTGAGCGGTGCTTCGAGTGAAGAATGTCGCGGTCCAGCAGAGAGTAGAGCTTCGTGTAGAAGGAGGGGTAGTCAAGGTTGCGCTCCTTGATGAGGTAAAACACACCCGAAAGCGCGAGCAGAGAGATTGAGCCGCCAGCGTCGTAAGAGTCTGTGAGGAAATCGGCCAACAACTCTGGACGGGTGAACCACGGGGCGATCTCGTTGGACATGATGTCCAAAACCCGCTTGCGCTGCTCCTTTGTTGATGAGAGCTTGAGTACTGCGAGCCAGGCGTCTTGGCCTTGCCTCTTGTGCTGGTGTAGGTTGTTAAGGACATGAGACTTTTGCTTCGGCTTCTCGACCCAGTACTTTTCCAGCGCTGTTGGAACATTGCCAATATTTGACAGCAACTCGAAAAGATCGTCAAACAGTTCGTCTTCTGGCGTTTCCCCTGGTGCATCGGCCATCGTCCTACTCTCTGTTAGTATACATGAGGCACAGGGGTTCCTCAAGACATACTTGATAGCCTTCAATGTGAAAAAGCGGATATCGTCATATTCACTCATAAACTTCTCCACAAACTCGGCCCGGGCATCGTCGCTGTCTGAGTTCAAGAGTGCCGTGATGATCTGTTGCAAGAAGCTTGCCGGGAAGTTGTACTCCTCTTTGTCGTTCAAAGTGTGAGCCTCAGTCTTGAGACATCTCATGGCCAGCGTCAACGCCGTCATCGCCAGATTTTCGTCGCCAAGAAGTTCGGAGAGAACCGACTTGTATTCGAAATACCGGTCCTTGAGCCACGACGCAACCACCAATTCCTTCTCCGACAGACCCTTCTTCCTCTGGAGAGCGCCAGCTGAGAGTAACCTGACAAAAGCTCTGCACAAGGCCACAGAAGCCAGGGTTGCCGACTCGGGCTCATCTTCGAAAGTTTTTGCGATCTGGATCAGTTTGGTGATGTTGTTGTAGTTCTTCTTCGACTCCAAGATCTCACTCTCAAGGAGCAAGATCTCAGCTTGAGGATCACTCTCATCGCCACTGCTCTCGGGTTCAGACTCGGACTCGGATTTGGCGCGCTTCTTCGACTTCTCCTTCGCGGGAACTCTTTTCCTCTTCAGGCCCTCGCCCGACGCTTTCGCAGGCATTTTTGGCGAATATTTTCGGTGGTTGATGTAGTTTGATATTGAAGCTCTGGGACCGATCTCAATTCTCGAATTTTACAGCGGGTCCAGTGAGACGGGAATTTTCTGTAGATGGCCCGGCCGTCCATTCAGCGAGAAGGAGGCATGGTCCGAGCGCTATATATATCACGTGACGCCTGCTGACTGGCTCCCTCGGGTCTGTTCATCGAAATTCTCGTCTCCCACTAGAGCTTTGAACGTAGGACCTCAAAGCCGCCGTAATACCCGCATCCCCAGATCATCTCACAATGGCGTCCCGCTTGGCTAGAAGCGCTGTCGGTACGTCGAGACAACCTCCCCGAACCCATGGCGTGTCAATTGGCCGTCCCGACGATGGCGAAAAAAAGGCCGCAAGCTGGAAAGCAAGGACCCGTGGAACCTAGGCTAACACTCAGCTCTCCCTTCTCGACGCAACAGGCGCGAACCTCCTCCGGCCAACCCTTGCCCGCCGCGCCCTTCCCGCCATCTCGGCCTCCGTCTCCGGCGCCCGCAACGCCTCCAACGTTCCCGCCGAGGACCCCAAGAAGAAGGCTCAGTCCATCGTCGACGCCCTCCCCGGCAACTCGATCCTCTCTAAGACCGCCATCCTCTCCTCCTCCGCCGCCCTGAGCGTCTACGCCATCAGCAACGAGTACTATGTCGTCAACGAGGAGACCGTTGTCGCCTTCTGCCTGCTCGCCGTCTGGGGCGGCCTGATCAAGTACGGAGGCCCGATGTACAGCGAGTGGGCCGAGGCCCAGGCCAACAAGATCAAGGGCCTCCTCAACCAGGCTCGCGCCGACCACACTCAGGCCGTCAAGGGACGCATCGAGGACGTTAAGCAGATGTCCAGCGTCGTCGAGATCACCAAGTCTCTCTTCGAGGTCTCCAAGGTACGATTCGACCGATGACGTTGATGGAGGGGTTCCGAGGACCGGACGAACGGATGGAAGTGGAGGGGAACGTAAACATGGCTCGGACTGAATGGGTTCGCTAACGGAGACGCTTACAGGAGACTGCCAAGCTCGAGGCTGAGGCCTACGAGCAGGAGCAGAAGACCGCCATCGCCGCCGAGGCCAAGGCCGTACTCGACTCCTGGGTCCGCTACGAGGGCCAGGTCAAGCAGCGCCAGCAGAAGGAGCTCGCTGAGAGCATCATCGCCAAGGTCACCAAGGAGCTCGAGAACCCCAAGGTCCTCCAGCAGATCCTTCAGCAGTCCGTTGCTGATGTCGAGAGTAAGAAGCAATGCCCCGCGCCTACATCTCCGTCATCGGAAGTACCTCGGATATCCTTTTACTGACTCTCCTTTCACAGAGATCGTCTCCAAGCAATAGATTTCCCGACCTAGAGTCTGAGCGAGAAGATTTCTTTTGTCCAAGGGGTTCCCTTGCGTGTCAATAAACACCTGTGCATTAGCCAATTCAAGAACTTCGAAAAGGACGCCTTGACATATGCTACGTGTCGCGTAATATGTTTAATTAGGAGAAACATGTACTCGACGGCATTCACGATCTTCAAAACGGACACGATGTGTATCATCATTCAATTTCATTGACTATCTGTCCTACAGCTATCTATCAAGGCCACACTCAATTGACATGTTGAATGCCGTGGCGTTGCGGGTGTTCTTTTCCGCCCGCCCATCTCCACCTCTAACTCCGACCCTTTCCGACATTCCCCGTCCGAGCATAGCAACCGGCCCGTCGGTACGACAACCCCACCATGTCGACGGAGATCATTTCAAAGTCAATCAATCATGAAATCGCAACGAAAGTCAACGAGCAATAAAATCTATTCAATCTTGCTGTTCTCTCTTTGGAAAATCGAGGCAAGGAAAAGTCTGTTCTTGACATTGTACAACAAACAAGCCTGAACGCCGCCTCGGACCAAACTAAACCCATCCCAAAGCTCGTAAGCAAGGTATTGAGAAACGAAGAGCCCACGGGGCCTCCTTTCCACGCGTCAGATATGTTATTACAAAGAAAATGTTACATGCGGTCGTCTTTTGGGATCGTAAGAGCTCAATAAACCATTCCCCCGGACGTTCAAGCATCATCCATAGCGTGCATTCAGTAGATAGGTCGCGACTCTTCCCATTTCGAGTGAGCGCCAGCCTTCTCCGCCGCATCAGGGGTATCTTCTGTCTTGACGTCCGGTCCCGCGCCAAAGGAAATCCTTCCGCTCTTACGCCGTCTAGCAGTGTCTCCCGTAATAGGTCCGATCCACTCCCAAGCGCGACCAACCTCGCCGCTGCGTCCTTCTCTTTGGCTAGTTCTCACGTTGCTGTTTTGCTCAACAACAGCCTTGACACGCTTCCAGATGCGATCACGCTCGCCGAGCGAGTGCACAGAGCGGAGAACGTCATCGCGGAGGTTGGGCAGGAAGAGCCAAGGGTCGTCGATCTCTTCCTCACCGAGTTCCTTCTGCGTTGCCAGCCGAGCCAGAACGAGATCAACAAGCGCTGGGACCTGGGCCACAGTCGCCTTATGGGATCTGTACTTGGAGCGCACGTAAAAGTAACTAACAATCAACGCGATCACAGATCCAATTGAGAGCCGATGTCTTGCCAGCCCGAGCCTGAACGAGCGCTTGATGGCGCAGCCGATTGGAAGGCGAGCGAGAGAGGAGGACGATAGGTAGGCGTCTGAAACTGAGGTGGAATTGGCCTTTCTACTTCGGGCACATCCGATCTGGTTAGTACGCATGTTAGGAGTTGACGATTTTGATATAGGGGCAGGTTGAAGTCTGTGAAGAGCAAAACAGGAGATGTTGACTTACGGAACAACTTCCACTTCCTCGCGACCCTTGACATCCCCGATAGCGGCAACCCACAGGTCGTCAAACTCCTGCTTGTTCATCTTCTTGCTTCTCTTTGCGCTGATGACCTTCTTAAGCTCCTCCTCATCAATCGCGGGGGCCTCCGGTGCCTGCTGGGCTTCGTCGGTAGAATCACCGCACTCAAACTGGGCCCGCCTCTCTCGGAGCTCTTCGACTGTCTTGTCGGCCACAGCCTTCACCCTTCGGACCTTCTCACCGTCGGGCTCACATGTTGGGGGCAAGGGGACCAGGCCACCAAGGGCAAGTGGGTGCGGCTTCAGGATGAAGTCGGGCTCACAGCGGACAGAGTAGTCCTCATAGCAGTAAGCGTGCTGAGGGCACAGCTCGCACTGAGGCTCAGCCAGCTGGACCGCCCAGTCAGGGACGGGGATATCCGCGGGGATGATTTGCATCGCGGGACGGCCTAGTCCACAGTATCCAACAGCCACCTTCTCTTGACGGTACCAAGCGCCGTAGGCTCCAAGCAAAGAGACAGCCAGGGCCCAGAAAGGCTTGGCGAGACTTCTTCTGGGACGGGCTGGCGTACGGCGGGGTGCCAGAGCACTTTCACCACTTGCCGCCATCTCCTGCTCCATTTCAAATTGAGCATCCGGAGTGAACTCTTCGCCAGCCTCGACAATTTCAGCCGGCTGATACTCTGGGGTCTCTTCGCGCAACAATGTACTAACAGGGACCTCAAAGGCCTGTGATTTCGTGGATGACTTCGGTCGCTCTTCGGCGTAATGGCCGTCCGTTCGTCGTCGTACACTGTCGTTCTGGAAAAGATCCTGTCCAGTTCTCCTGCGTCCCGTAGCAGGGGTCTTGATGGGTGCCGGCGAGCTGCCGCTCTGGAACGGGTTGTCCATCGAGAAGTACTCAGACTCCCTCCGCTTCTTGAAAAAGTCCTCCTCGGACTCTTCTTGCTTGATGTGAGGGGTCACGTTGCGCTTGGTGCGGACCGACTTGGGCGGCTCTGCTTGCTCAAACACAGGCTGCTCAAACCGCTCCAACTGCTCAACCTGCTCAGGCTCGTAGTACGGCTCAGGCTCCACAGGTTGCCGGCTGCTTGCTCGCACCTTCCTCTTCGTTGGGCTGATCGGGGCCGGCGGCTGTTGTTCATACTCCTCGCTCTTAACTCGGGTGGAAGCCTTGCGCGGAGACTGCGATCGGGTCGTCCTGCGTCGTGGTGGCGGGGCGAGGTCGTAATCATCAAAAGACTCGCTTTCGTGATTGCTTCCCATATCCACGATCCCTTTGCTTGACCGCTTGGCTCTAGCCTGCTTTGCCAGAATCTTCTTCGCTTGAGGCAAGACCTCTTCGTTGAAGAGATCGACAAGCTGAGGCTTCTTTGCTGTCGAGGGGTATTGAATTTCGTGCGCCACGAGGATCGATCGCAGGCGGGGGACCGTCAGCGATTTCGGGTCGAACCCGGGCTGGAGGTATTCGTACTCGTCCATGTTTGCTTGGAGCTGTCTGTTGTTGGATGGAGAGAAAGGAAGAGCGACAGACAACAAGAAGCAATCGGACGTTAACCCAAGCAAGGACAGACTGTGGTGAGATCCGTGCGAGTGAGACACTTTGCGACGGTAATGTCAAAGGCAGCTGGCGTTGTTTGCTCTCTCGACTGTGGAACCCTGAAGAAAAGGGTAAGCAGGCTTCCAACAGCAAGGTAAAAAAAACGTGTCGCACGGAGGTTTTGGCCTCGTTTCTGCGGCCTTGACAGGCGGGCACCAGATCTTAGCGATGGTGTAAGATGCAAGTTGTGTAGACGATGCGCCCAGTGGACAGATGTTGATAGGGAAAGTCAAATAAGAGCCCACTGACGCAACAAAATCGCCCGCTCCCGCTGTCTAGGTGCTGTGGCAACGTACTGGGTCATGAGGTGTCTGAAAAACACCTAGTGTGGGGGCCTAGAGGAGGCAGAGCAGGCAGACAGGGGGGACATCAGTTGAAATTGCAGGGGTTATGGCTTCCAATCAGCACAGATCGCGGGTGATAGACACAGCCACACTTGGAGGGACTGTTCCGAACGACCTGGAGGCCTGGCTGTGGCTTTCAATGTGGCGAACTTTTTTCGAGCTTGCCCTGATACGTTGGAGCTATTCGATTTGATCGTCCCATGTGATCATACGTCAAGATCGTACCTGCCACCCTGCCAGGAAGTTGTCAACTGGCTGTAAAAAAAAAAAAAAAAATGGCAGCTTCACGCGCTCTTCTTCGGCCAAGGTTTGTCTGCAAGACCTGCACTCGCAGATTTCAATCGCAGGGCCGGCGGTCTTACGCGAGCACAAGCGCATCTTCGTCGGCGTCGGAACCAGAGATCTACGATGTTGTCTGCGTGGGAGGCGGGCCGGCAGGTCTCAGTCTTCTGACTGCTCTCCGTACGAACCAATCGGTTGCTCCAACGATTGAAATGAAGGCTGATCATTTTTAGGAGCCAACCCGGTGACATCCCGCCTCAGGGTAGCTCTTGTCGAAGCCCAGGACCTCTCCAAGACCCGCGCCTGGAAGCTCCCCGCCGACAAGTTCTCGAATCGCTGCAGCTCCCTCACGCCGACTTCCGCACAATACCTCAACACGATCGGCGCATGGAGTCATCTGAAGCGCGACCGGGTCCAGGATTACAATGAGATGCAGGTATGGGATGGTGTCAGCGGCGCAAGGATCGAGTTTGACTTGCCTGGAGGAATCTCAGAGGGGAAGACCATCGCTTACATGTGCGAGAACCTCAACTTGACTTCGGGCCTGTTGAGTCGCCTGGACGAGCTTGGCGGAGTATCAGTGTACGACAGTGCACGGGTTGAGCACATTGGCTTCGGCGAGGAGACGGAAGACTTCGATTTGACGCAATGGCCTGTCGTACACCTGTCAGGCGGGAAGAAGCTCCATGCGCGGTTGCTGGTTGGGGCGGACGGCGCAAACAGCCCTGTTCGCACATTTGCTGGCATCAAAGCTCGCGGCTGGGACTACGGCAGGCATGGTGTTGTTGCAACTCTGCAGATGGAGGGAGATGGATGGGGCGGCGAATACAACAAGATCGCCTACCAACGTTTCCTGCCTACTGGACCGGTAGCCATGCTGCCTCTTCCAGGTAACTACTCGACCTTGGTCTGGTCAACAACGCCTGAGCGGGCCACATTTCTGAAGAGCCTCCCGCCCAAGGAGTTCATCGCTATGGTCAATGCTGCCTTCCGGCTTAGCCCGGTTGATATTGGATTCATGCACACCCAAGAGTCTGGCCAGACGGAGGAGCTCGATTGGAGACTTGAGCACACCCCGGTGGAACGCCGCGCAGTCCCTCAGCAGGTTGTCGGTGTCCAAGACGGCACGATTGCTTCATTCCCTCTCAAATTGCGGCATGCCGACACCTACACGGCTGAGAGGATTGCTCTTGTTGGTGATGCGGCACACACCATTCACCCCCTGGCTGGTCAGGGTCTGAACCAAGGCCAAGGTGATGTTCAGAGTCTCGTGAAGACCATCGAGACCGCCGTGTCTACCGGTCAGGACCTGGGTTCAAGCATCTCCCTCGAGGCTCATAACTCGGAGCGTTACATAGCCAACCACGTTGTGATGGGCGTCTGTGACAAGCTTCACAAGCTCTACTCCGTCGAGAGCGGGCCGCTGGTACCACTGCGGTCTATCGGCCTGAGTGCCGTCAATGCCATGGGTCCTTTGAAGAAGTTCTTCATGGAGCAGGCTTCTACAACCGGCGCTAAGTTGTTCTAAGAAAACCAAATGTACACACTGTAACATTATTGTATTGCAAAAGTTGACGGATTGGCCGTCAAGTTGGTCGTCCAGTGCTCTATGTAGTCGTGACATCAATTACCATGAATTCTTGATAATCCGGTTCTTCGTTCTCAAGAGTAAAGGGGAATCATCATATGTGGTGAATAGCCCACGGGCTGCCGCAATCCATCAAGTCTGAGCAAGATTCTTCTAGAAAAGAGAACAATGCGGTATATACGTAAATGCTCTGTCTCTTTACTCTACAAGTACAAAAGGAAGAAGATTCCTGACGGTCGTTTTGATTTCCCTCCTCTGAAGCACTCTACCGATCAACCTCACCTGAATTGACGTTAGTTATGCGGGTCGAAACTTGAGAAAGTGGGAAAACTTACCGAACACCAAATCCATCGTACCGATAACCGCCACAGCGTCAGCAAGCATGTGACCCTTGCAAACGTGATCAAAGCCACCCAAGTGGGCAAAACCAGGGGCTCTGATGTGGACACGGTAGGGCCTCTCGCTACCGTCACTGACGACGTAGACACCCATCTCACCCTTGGGGGCCTCGATGGCAGAGTATGTCTCACCAGGGGGAACTGTGTAACCCTTGGTGTAGAGGAGGAAGTGGTGGATGAGAGCCTCCATGTTCTCCTTCATGGCAGAGCGGGGCGGGGGAGAGATCTTGTAGTCCTCGCAGCGGATGGGGCCGGCAGGCATCTTGTTCAAACACTGGTGGATGATACGCAGGGATTGTCTGAACTCCTCCATACGGCAGAGATATCTGTCGTAGCAGTCGCCACGGACACCGACGGGAACATCAAACTCAACCTGGTCATAAGCATCATAAGGCTGGCTCTTGCGGATATCCCAAGGAACACCGGAACCACGGAGCATGACACCAGTGAAAGACAGGTTCAGAGCCTCGGCGGCAGAGATCACACCAACACCCTGGAGACGCTGGATCCAAATACGGTTGTCTGTAAGCATCTCTTCGGTCTCGTCGATACGGTCGCCGAACTGAGTGGCCCACTGGTAGATGTCGTCAAGAAGACCCACGGGGATATCCTGGTGGACACCTCCGGGACGGACGTAGGCGGCGTGGAGACGAGCACCGGAGACACGCTCATAGAATTCCTGGCAACCGGGTCAGCCGGAGTTTTCCCACATTCCTTCAGGACTAAATATCCGACTTACCATGAGCTTCTCACGCTCCTCGAAACCCCACAAGAAGGGCGTCAGAGCACCAACGTCCATGGCGTGCGACAAAACGGACATCAAGTGGTTCAGGATACGGGTGATCTCGCCGAACAGGGTGCGAATCCACTTCGCGCGGTCGGGGATCTCAACGTTCAGGAGCTTCTCAACAGCCAGGGCGAAACATTGCTCGTTCGTCATCATGGAAACGTAGTCGAGACGGTCGAAGTAGGGAAGGGCCTGAGTGTATGTCTTGTACTCGCAGAGCTTCTCGGTACCTCGGTGGAGGAGGCCAACGTGGGGGTCGGCTCTGACGATTTCTTCGCCGTTGATCTCGAGAATCAGACGCAACACACCGTGAGCGGCGGGATGCTGGGGACCGAAGTTGACAGTGTAGTGGCGGATCTTGCGGTCCTCCACGCCTTCCTCGGTAACCTTGGTGTGGCCATCGGTGCCCACTGGCCGGGTAATGCTGTAAGGGTCGGCGGCGGGAGAGAAGTCGGAGGCGACGGGCGTGAGCCTCGTTCCTTGGTATTCGGTGGAGGCATCGGCGTATCGGCGGCGGTAGGTCGTCGAGAAAGGGCGAACGGCGTTGAACGAGGAAGCTGCCGGGCGCAGACATAACCTCTTGGCGCTGTGGCCGGCGAGTCGGTAGAGGCCTGCCATGGTGGATGTAGAGTGGAGAGACGGCTTCAAAAGAGGTCGACGAGATGCGTGCCCCCAATTGAGCCTCCTTTATTATGCCAATGGCTGGGTGCCGGCTGCGTTGGATGGAGGGGATTCGCCTTCGAATTGAAGTGTGAGTGTCATGTCGGAAAGCTCAGAAACCAGTAATTGCCTCGCGCTGATTGGTTTGGCGGGCCGCAGCCCTTCCGCGGACAGTGTGGCACGGTGCAAGTAAACGGTCCAGCGGAAAGCTACAAGGATGCGACCTTTAATTGAGAGCTCTCCAACAAACGCACCTGAGCTGCAGCCGCTGCAAAAAAGAGGTAAGGAAACTTTTTCATCGTCAAAAAACCACTACAAGTCCTTGTCGACGTCGCTCTAACTTTTCAGATGGATGAATGAGCAAAACTCGCTTTTTTGTTTCACTTAATCGCAAATGGCTCATCTCAGTTATCTTTCCAGATCTGGCTGACAAGAAGCCCCAGACCGCTTTTCGCACTCCGTCGGTGAGAAGAGCAGGCCCGAACTCCTCTGAGAGGAGTCACCGAAAATGCTATGGCCTTTCGGGTCAGGGAAACCTGAGCCTCCCAAAGAGAAAAAGTCCATCTTTTGGAATGACCTCCTCCCGCAGCCAGACCCTCCACTGCACGCCGCGAGAGAGTGGGCGCCCGTCTTCCTGACCGCTGTTGGGTCGCTGGCCGTATTCACTTTTTATAACTCACGCCTGCGGCGATATCCCACAACCGGGCATATCTCACCAGACCTCTTCAGGAAACGGACACTGTTCGGCCGGGTCACGAGTGTCGGTGATGGAGATAACTTCCACATGTACCATACCCCAGGCGGGAGGCTCGCTCTGTGGGGTTCACTGAGGAGAATTCCCACCACCAAAGCCAAGCTCAAGGGGAAGACGGTGAGAGTTGTTCTTACACATTTGAGGTGCACAACCACTAACAAGCGTCGTTCAGATACCTGTGCGATTGGCTGGGATTGATGCTCCTGAGGGCGCTCACTTTGGTAAGCCTGGACAACCTGGTGCTCCAGAAGCTCTCAAATGGCTCAACGACTACATCTTGAACCGACGCATCTGGGCAAGGATCCACAAACGCGACCAATACGACCGCGTCGTTGCGACTGTCTTCGTGAGACCGTTCCTTTTCAAAAAGGACGTCGGGTTGGAGATGCTGAAGCGAGGCCTGGCAACGACTTACGAGGCAAAGTCCGGAGTGGAATGGGGAGGTTTTGAACAAAAGTACAAAGCTGCTGAAGCCAAGGCCAAGGAACAGAAGCTAGGCATTTGGGCTGGCAAGGCTAGCGACTTTGAAAGTCCCAGGGATTACAAGACGAGAATCAATGAGGCGGGAGAGAAGGTCGTGGAGGAGGTGAAGCCGGATGAGAAGAAAAAGAAAGAGGAGAAGAAGACCTGGTGGTTCTTTTGAGACGAGGGCTGCGGGTACGGCTTCTGCATGAGACATGACTGTTTATGAGCCGATTCATTTTCGACATGCACATACGACAATCACCAGCAGCGAGCATATACGGTACCTATCATAGGACATGAGATGCCAGGGTAACCCTTCATGAGAATAGATGCGTTATGAGCAACGGTGAAATCGACTGGGATCTGTGAGGGTGAATGAGTTGGCAATCGCCTAGTTGCATATAGCTGATTTGTCAATACGGCTGCATGATTGGCTGGCAATTTCCCGGGCCGCTTGCCGGCTCCTACCCCTTGCACTGTACCATACGCCTGCCCCTGTGTTTGACCCGAACTTCAGAGGTGTCGGACGCCTCAGTGGCCAACCTCCTCCCAATCCTCACCAAGCGACTTCAACGTTGAACGTCGGAGTGTTTCACGTGTTTCTTCAGGCCCTTTTCCGACAATTATATTTGCTTCGACTGCTGTTCTCTCATACACACCGTATCTCCTAATCGTCGCTGGCGGCGACCCTTCGCCCAAGATGTCGCTACAGGTCAGGGGTCCCGACGTCTCGGTGACCAAGCAGAAAGCTCTCGAAGATGCAAAGAAGATGCAGTCCGCGGTTGATGAGGAGGTGGCCAAAGCAGGCCAGGACAAGCCACCTTATCTTCTCAACGAGCTCATCGGCAAAGGAAGTTTTGGTCGAGTCTACAAAGCAACCGACATTAATACGAGTATGCTCGTTGCGGTCAAGATCATCGACATCGAAGAGAGTGACACCGTCAATCCCAAGCTCGCCGACACCTTCAAGGAATTTTTGGCCGAAGTCAACGCCCTGAAGCTTCTCAGTGACAGTGGCGCCAAGAACATCAATCATGTCATCGACGCGCTTCCCGTCGGCCAGTCAATGTGGATGATCACCGAGTATTGTGCTGGAGGAAGTGTCGCGACGCTCATGAAGCCGACGGCCCCGGGTGGACTTCAAGAGAAGTGGATCGTTCCCATTCTCAGGGAGGTTGCAGAGGCTGTCTTCTGGGTTCACCGGCAAGGAATTATTCACCGAGACATCAAGTGCGCCAACGTCCTGGTCACCGAGGCTGGCGGCGTTCAGCTTTGTGACTTTGGAGTTGCTGGTGTCATCGAGACCAAGTTTGACAAGCGATCTACGTTCATTGGCACGCCTCACTGGATGGCTCCTGAGCTCTTTGATCAGTCAACATCCTACGGTACGGAGGTAGACATTTGGGCATTTGGCTCCATGGTGTATGAGATTGCCTCAGGTCTGCCGCCGAACGTTATGGCAGGAATCGACGTCTATCAGCTCGGAAACTACATCAAGGCCCATACGCCTCGATTGGAGGGTGATCAGTACTCCGATCAACTCAAGGATCTCGTAAGCTATTGTTTACGGGAAGACCCTTCGAAGCGGCCAACGATCGAAGATGTCCAAAAGCATCCCTACATCGCCAACACCGCACAGAAGTATCCTGCCTCGTCACTGGCTCTGCTGGTTAGAGGTTTCAAGTTGTGGGAGTCCCAGGGTGGCAGTCGAAAGTCCCTATTCGCACCTGGAGGTGCGCAAAATGTCTGGGACACGGACGACTCAGACTTTTCATCCACAGCGATGGCGAATGACGAATGGAACTTCAGCACGACCATGGCTTTCGATCAACAGGTGTTTCAAAACACAGATGTCCAGGCGGTCTACGATGTGTATGGCTCAAACGTAGATTTTGATCCCGGATTTCTGGATGAAATGTCAAGGAACAAGCCGAAGGGTGGTCGCAGAAGGCCACCTCCTCAAGCGCTTGCCGCGATGAAGGCTCCTCTCGAAAAAGTCTTTGACCCCAATACGATTTCCAACTACGAAGATAATTCCCGGGCTTACTATGGCCGGCCTGTCCCTCCGCCGGCTTCCGATCTCCCTCTCCGAGACGATTCCCTTCAGTCGATGACAGTAAGAGAGTCTCTCATCGACCTCGATGCTTCGCTGAATGGTAGCAACCTCGCCAACTTTGTGGACATGAATACCATCAGAGCTGGTGCACCACGTGTGTCTGTCGACTACCACATGGGAGACGAACCAGATTTCAACAAGCCACCTCTGAGCGACCCAGCCGATCTGAACCCCAACAGAAGGACGCAGGACTGGAAGTTCCCATCAATGGCGCCGCCAGCCTCGGCGAACCCTGAAATGTCCAGGTTTCCTTTTAACGAGGATCGCTCAGGACCCAACTCCGCCTCCAGACCTCAAATGTTCCACCATCAGACCGACCCTGTCCCCGCCCCTAACTATGGAGGTGACTTGACGGTCCCACGGTCGAACTCTCAGATGAACAACAGAGAATCCACCGGGAGCTTGATTGATTTGGACGATCTCATGGTTCCGCAAAGCAACCAGAACAACCGCATATCAACCGGCAGTCTAATTGACCTCGACATGGGCCTCGCAGACCCCACGCCAGAGCTCACCCGTCCGTCCACGGCCAACTCAGACGTTGCTTCAGTAAGTGGTTCAGAGATGGGCCTCGCCAATCCCTTCGATCTCGAGCGCCACGCGTCTCTGTATGTCCCAACGTCCAACAGAGAACCTTCTATCTACGTGCCTGCGGGAGACCGCGAGCCTTCTATCTACGTTCCTGCAGGAGATCGCGAGCCATCGCTCTACATTCCCACATCAGACCGCGAGCCGTCCATCTATGTTCCAGCAACAAACCGAGAACCGTCAATCTATGTGTCCGATGATTCCGATTTCGCAAGGAGCATCCCTAAAGATGATGACCTCGGCCTGGTCGACCTCAACCTAGCCGAGCCCAGCGGCACCGTTCGCCCTGCCAACGGCCAGGCCGGGCTGCGACTCAATACCCACCAGTCGTTCAACAGCGCGGACTACTCAGATCCTGAGTTCCTGACACCTCAGCAAGCCGCGCAGCCTGTTTTCCATGGTATCCTACGCTCGACGAACCGCGGATCAGTGCCACTGCCACTGCCGCCTCCTCCGGCACCGCCATCGGTCGAGGTTATGCAGGGTTCAGCCAGCGCCGACGCTGTGAAGGAGGAATTGCGGAGGATGGCGATGAGTTTGGGTGAACACTTGAGTCACGCGAACCAGTACCTGTCTACACTGCCTGTGCGCAAGGGTGGCAGACAGGACTTGATGGGAGAGATGGCATAGCGCATCGGTTTGCCAGCAATCATTACAGTGTACGAATATTCGATGCCAGAGGCTGGTAACCTACCACAGGGAGGGCATACAGGCGTTTACGGAAATGATGTAAAATAGCGGAGGCGTATTGCTATTTTGTTGGATGGTTCATATTACTACGGGTCCTCACCTCTGTTTTTAATGTAAAAGTCACAGCCACGGCCACATATAGTTAGTAAGAATAACAGTCACTCCTTTGGACAATTTCTCTCCGATTCACGTAAACTCTATCCTACTGGAATCCAATCATGTCGCCCAATAGTAGGGCGCGATACTTTTCCGTTGCCTCTTGCAGCTTGATGAGTACCGCAGCGGCAAGCATCTTGACATCGTTCTCCTCCCCGCCATCCTCTCCGCGGGTATTGTTGAAGATGCCACTAACCCAGTCCTGGGTCTCGACAACCTCGCGCGGGTGCGCCTCGCAAAGTCGCCGCATGTCCGTTGCCTCGTTGACTTCCAACATAGCAGCCAGCGCAATCAGTAGCGCGTGTGTACCCGGGACGTCCCCTGAAACATGAGCTCGCACACCGAGCAGCAGATCCCACAGTTCGGCCGTCATCTGAGGGAGCGCGAGTGTCGCTGGACCCGCCGAGTGGATGAGCACGGCGAGCGTCTTGAGGTAGAGCGAGAGCAGATGGGACTGGATGAAGACGCCTGAGCGAGCGGAGTGGGAGCGCAGGGCATGCTGGAAGCGTGCGGTCAGAGGGAAGAAGAAGGATGTGCTGAGCACCGAGGCGGTTGTGTTGGGAATGGACCGGAGGCCGATCTTCTTCTTGGACGTCTTATTTTGGAGGCGAGAGGTGAAGGTGGAGAGTTTCAGGGCGTCGGGGCCGGTTGTTGCATCTGCTGCGTTGGCTGCTATGGGAGCCATGAAGGCCGAAGTTAGGGAGTTGGCGATGGTGTCGAGAGCGTTGGAGGGAAGAGCCTTGAGGGTTGACGAGGGGAGCTTTTTGGATGTTGACTGGTCGAGGTAGAGTGCCTCCATCTTCTCCGGGAGGCGTTTGGAGGGAAAGGATGCCGCGGCGGCGTATTCTGAGGCATCAAAGCCGGCGAGCTCACGGGAGCTAAGGCCGAGCACGATGAGAACTGAGGCGCGCTGGGAGACGGAGTAGTCGCCATCAAAGAACGTCTTTGCAAACCACTGTCCCATCTTTTGCGGTTGAGCTACCACGACAGCCATCATACCTTGCAAGCGGAGGTCCCAGAAATTCTCAATCTCGAACTTGTCTTGCAGACCTACGAGCAGCGTGGCGAGTTCTTCGGCGTGGTCGGTCACTTCTGTTCCAAAGTTGGCTTTGCGCCGGATCAAGGTAGGAGCTGTTGTCAAGGCGAGCTTCTGCTTATCGTAGTTGTCTGTATCGCGGAGATAGGAGAGCAGGTCGCGGACGTAAACAGGAGCCTTGGGTTTGTCGCGGCGCACAAGAGTCGGGTCCTCGTCTGAGTCTTCTGGGTCAGAGTCAGGTTTGGCATAGCGAACAAGATCTTCGTCTTCGCTTTCCGAGTCTGACACTTCTTGGATGATAAACTTTGAGGGCGCGGCAGGTTGCTTCTTCGGCTTCGGAGCTGGCTTTGGTCGAGATGGTTTGGGTGCCGGTGGCTGTCTCTTCTCTTCTGCTGAGGGCTTGGTGATGAGGACGTCGATGGGGCCGACCTGATCTGTTACCTTGACTAGATCTTTGTAGAACTTGGCTTCGTTGGTCTCCATCTCCTCCATCTTGAAATCCAAATTTTTGTCGCTTCCATCAATCAGACTCGAGAGTGCCTCGCCTACCGCCAGCCCTAGAAATCTGGCTTTCTCTTGAGAGGCGCCAATTCTGTTGGAGACAGTATTAAGGTAGGCGGCAGACCGCATGATCATTTTGAGTTTCAGGGGCGAGAGCCTGTTGACGTATCCGGCACTGAGAAGCAGGACCTGGGCGTGGGCCTGCTGCTGCAGAATTGGAGAGTGCTTGATGTAGAGCTGGTCTCCAAATTGGTTGATGCTCTTTTCGAGAACTAGGTTGATGCACTCTTTATCTTGGGCCAAAGCAGCCAAAACCGCACGTCTGATCCCAATGCCTTCTCCGAGACCAGCGCCGGTAGAGCTTGTGAGCCATGAAACAAGATGAGTTTTCCGACTCTCCCCGTTTGCGATCAACCTGTCAACAACACCCGCAGCTGCAGAGATGATTTGGCTCGGCTCTGCGGTCTCTTCATCATCTAGCTTGTTAAGGAAGACTTCAGACAAGTGTTTCAGGACCGCGAAGATTGTTCGTTTCTGTTCCAGCTGGGAGAATTGACCGAACAGTTTGAAGAAAGCATTGCGATTCTCTTCTGGACCAAGGAGCATATCCGTGATGAGCTGCCTCATCAATGCATCTGGCACAGGGTTAGTTGACTCGTCCCTCCCAACAGCAGAAAGCTGATAGCAATTGGCCTACCTGAATACCCTAGGCGCAGTGACCTTGCAGATACTTCGGCACAGAGCTTGATATCATCGGAAGAGATATCACATTTTGCCCAGTATGCAATGCTTCTTCCAAGCCACTTGCTGTATTGCAGTCCGTCGGCAACCCAGAGACTGTTCCTCGAAGCTCTGTCCGGGTTGGCGAGGACGTCTGCCTCAGCTGCAACTGACACAAGCCGCCCCCCAGCTATGAGTGCGGTGAACTCGTGAGCCATCGGGCGGCGCTGGGCCACGGTTCCTAGACCTGCGCTGCTTGCGTCCCAAAGCGCAGCGAGGCAATCATCCCTTTCTAGCACTGCGGAGCAGACTTCTATGAGGACGTTCAAGTTGATTGCTAGGTTTGGCCTCTTCACATCTTTCGCACCAGCCTTTGACTCTTGGATCAAGGCTTTCAACCGGGTGATTGCTGCGTTGAGCCCGGTGATGTTTCTGAGGGATTTCAATAATAACTCCAGATTGGTTCCTTGACCAGCTCTCGAGGTAGAAGCCTCCTCTTTCAACAGAGGCCAGTAATTCGGGATTATTTCCGAAACTAGGCACTGGATTATCTGTGCGGCCTCCGGGTTTGGCTTTGAGATCTTGAAGCCCGACTTGGCGATACGCCCATGATCGAGAGACTGTAAGACAGATATGAGAGTGTCGTAGTCCGGTTGGCTCTTCAAGGTCTCCAAAGCAATCTCGACAGTGTCGATCTCGGTACTTTGAATGGCCGGCTTAGCCTTGGCAATCGTTTCTGACTCCTGGTGAGAAGGGTCGACAGGCCTGGCCTTGAGGTAGGTCGTGCTGACTGGGGTGAAGTCCATCGCCGTTGACTAGCCTTAGGTCGATTGCATGGTCCCAAGGGGAAAGTCGAGAAAAGGTTAATCTTGAGCTTGTTTTCTTGGTTCGTCCAGATCTTTTAGCAAACTTTGTTGGCTATCGGCATTTGTAATCTCCGATCTAGTTCTGCAAGCGCTTAATTTTTATAAGAAGTAGAAACACATCATTCTCGCTTCTGGTGGAAAATGCAGGCAGCACAGACGAAGGCAACGACGTTGCGAGAGCGTTCACAGCATTTCCACCCACCCCACCACCCTCGGCTTAGTGTAGCACTCCTAACCCCTGTAGCAACCCCACTAGAGCAATCGATAGACCTCCGATAACGCTTATCGTGCACGGCCGCAATCGTCCAGGCACTCTAGGCCGCCTATTTCATCATGTCGGCCCCTCCGTCTCCCGACAGCCAGCTTCAGCAGCTGGATCAAGACACCACACTCGAGCCCGTTCAGTCCCTCAACTCCAAGCTCGACCGGCTTCTCCTACCAGACATGGCTACCGAAGCCCCTATTGCGGTAGCCAAAGGCTCAATGCCGGCCAGCACCGTGAACGAAGAGAAGAGATGGTAGACGCAAACCGAGCTTGTCATCGCGAATCGCCTGTTTCGTTTGCTGATGCCTGCATGATTCCAGGACATATCTCGACAACATTCGAAAGAACCCCGGCCCGTTCAGCGACCCAGATGTCGCCGGAACACCAGAGGCCTTCGAGCAGTTTGACAAGATGAAAGTATTGTAAGCAAAGGAAACGCACTCCGACATCATTGCCAGTCGCTAACATGGGGTCAACAGGGTTATGTACGTGTCTCGTCACTTGCCACGAAACCTCTGACACCTCCGACTAACGAGTTCCCAGTGGTGCCGGCGGTTTGGGTTGTGAAATACTGAAGAACTTGGCAATGTCCAAGTTCAAAGACATCCACGTCATTGATATGGGTGAGCGCAACCGACATCAATGGCAGCGCCCATGCTGACTGAAGCGTACCAGACACTATCGATATCTCGAACCTCAACCGACAATTCCTCTTCCGCCAGTCCGATGTGGGCAAGTCAAAATCCGAATGCGCAGCGCAGTTCGTCATGCGCCGTGTGAAGGGCGTCACAATCACCGCCCATAACTGCCGCATCCAGGACTTCGACGCCGACTTCTACAAGCAATTCCAGCTTGTCATCTGTGGCCTGGACAGTATTGAAGCACGAAGATGGATCAACGCCATGTTGGTATCAATAGCTGAAGCGGGCGAGGATGCCGACTGTCTGATTCCCTTGATCGATGGCGGTACAGAGGGTTTCAAGGGTCAGGCTCGCGTGGTCATCCCCTCAATGACCTCCTGTATCGAGTGTCAGTTGGATATGCATGCCCCTAGAGCCGCTGTTCCTCTCTGCACCATCGCCTCAATCCCTCGTCAGCCTGAGCACTGTATCGAGTGGGCGCATGTTATCGCATGGGATCAGGAGAAGCCGTTCCCCCAGCTCGACAAGGATGACCCTGCACACGTCTCGTGGTTGTACCAAAAGGCACTTGCGCGTGCAGAGGAGTTCAAGATCTCGGGCGTCACCTACGCCCTCACCCAAGGCGTGATCAAGAACATCATCCCGGCTATCGCCTCCACGAACGCCATCATTGCTGCGTCATGCTGCAACGAGGCCTTCAAGCTTGCAAGCTCTGCGGCACCGACGCTTGGCATGGAGGAGAACTACATGATGTACTCTGGTAACGACAGTGTCTACACTTACACCTTTAGACATGAAAAGAAGGACGACTGCCCCGTCTGCGGACAGCAATCACGCCCACTGGAGGTTGATCCCAACAGCACCCTCCAAGAGCTTGTGGACTCGTTCGCAACCCGGCCGGAGGCTCAGCTGAAGAAGCCGTCCCTTCGAGGCGAGGGCAAGACGCTATACATGCAATTCCCGCCTAGCTTGGAGGAAAAGACAAGGCCGAATCTTGAGAAGACCATCAAGGAGTTGGGACTGGAGGACGGGCAAAACGTGATTGTCACTGACCCGGCGTTCCCACTCGAGTTCAACTTCTACCTGCGGTTCAGGGGAACTGCATAATCACCAAACCCCCACAAAAGTATCGAGGGACAATAATGAAGGCATGATATGTCCAAGACGGACGAAGCGCGGCGCTATGTGCCATAAAACAGGAGTTGATTATTTCAGGTGAAATATCAAGAGAATAAAATAAACGCATTGCCATGAATTAACTTTTTTCTTTCCATTGCCAGCCAGCCGTTGCAAAACCAGAAACCACGGGATATCTATAGGTATGGTACATGTGCAGTGAAGCTTCATCTAACCATGTTGATGACCTGCTGCTCGAGACGAATACACCTCGTCTTGAACTGCTTAACTGACTCCAAAAACAATTGATCGCTGTCCCACTGCCCGGTGCTCTCGATGGAGAAGATGAAGTGGTCGCGCACCCGGCCCAGCTTCACCTTGCCGTCGAACTTGGTATGGCGCAAGCACTCGCGACTGACGGTATCCTTCATGGCGTCCTTGACCACAGCCTTCTTCTCGCCCTCGTGTCCCTCGTACCCGCTGCCGGCAACCGCAGCCTCCTTCTTGGTGACCTTCTCGATGCCGATGACGCCCTTGGGGAAGCACTTAGCAAATTTCTCGGCGTCCTGGCCCAGAATCGGTCGTGTGATGGTGATGGTAGGCATGAGACGGTATGACGCGGTGGCGACGGGGGAGAACTTTGCGTGGTCGGCGCCGATGCCCTTGTGCATGTGCATGTCGAGCTCGATGCACTGGCCCGGCCTCAGCTTGGCGATGAGGATGTCCGGGTTGACGGGACGGATGGCGTCCTCGCCGGAGAAGAACTCGACCTGGCGGCCTGAGGGGACAAACTCAATATCCTTGGCGTAGACGCTCGCATGGTTGAAGGCAACGTTCGGGTCCTTCTCGTTGGGGCTGGCGTCTGGGTTGCGGGTGCACTCGATGCGTAGGCGCAGCTGGACGGTGTTGTAGTCGAAAGAGCCCTTGCCGCCATCCTCAGGCTTGCGGTACCACTTAAGGAAGTTGTGGATGCCCTCGGGGTTGCCGGTGAAGGGAATCAGGCCCAGGCGGTGGGCGAGGACCTCATCCTGGATAACGGAGGTGTTGTTCTCGATGTAGACGTTCTCGATAGCGACGGTCGGGATCTCGGCGATGAGGGTGCGACGGAAGGCGTTCGCGATGGAGGCGTCGACGCCGATCAGGGAGAATGACGCGTCGTGCTGGCTGTTGTGGTGGAACTGGATGCGAAAGTTCTCTGCGAACTTTTCGAGGTCCCAGGAGTGGTCTTCGCCCGGGTAGGTTCCCGGGTAGTCGGTCGAGGTCACATCGGTGACGGTCTCCTTGTTGATACCGACTATCTGGAGAAGCAATGGGTTAGACGGGCCGACGACTGCGTAGAACGGCTTGTTGACTTACCCTCCGCCGGTCCAGCTCGGCTTGACTGGGTGTGATGGGCGCCATGGTGTGGTTTGTCACTATGGCTGGAACAGCAAAAAGTTGCGATCGATAAGAAGGGAAATTTTTTGGAGGACCCCTCTATCAGCACCGAGAGTATGCGGCTTACGTACACACCCAGTGACATAGACTCACCCCCTTCTGGAAGGAAAAGTGGTCCCATAATTGGGGCCGGGGTCAACGACGAATCTCCAAATGCAGATGCGACGTCCTTGCACTTTTACGTCCTTCTGTCACCAAAACATTGTTATGATGAAGGTGAGATGTCTGTTCTCGATCAAGCCTCGATTCTGTGACTTGATCGAGGCAGACCAAGGATGAGCATAAATCAACAGCACGCTCGACGATCCTCTGAGCGATGGATGACTGTAAATGTAGTCAACATTCAACGCAGACTGATCTCTTAGCAACACCATTGTATCTCTCCGGAGATTTGCTTCTGGGGGCAGGAGCATTTATTCCACCACTGAATCTAAGGCCCTTGCATCTGGCTTGGGTAGCTTTTTTGAGTCCAAGGGTGCGATCCGTCTGGTCAGGCGTGAAAGGAGCGATCTTGCGAAGGGAAAACAAGAATTCAAACGAGGTTGGCATGAATGTCCCAAATTCTTTCCGTAAACGTACAATTCTTGTCAGGGACATTTTACAAGCAATGGATATTGACTTCCTGTGAAATACCAACTGTTCTAGCTGAAAAGCTGACGCGTGGGTGTGCTTTTTGAGTAGTCTTGACTTGAACACTATCACCAGCAGACACGGCCAAGTGGTCGTGGGAGTGGTTGAGGGCGAGAGGCGACGTTTCCCAGTTAATGTCTCCTTGAACTTAGTGATCGACCACCATCAGTTGATTCTCTGCAGCGCCACTGCTGGTGAATTGGTTTTTATTTTATTTTTCTCGTTCTGTTGGCTGGACCCTGTGTTCTCATTTTCGCTGAATGCTCTCTGATTCTTCCCTCTTACATATTTTGGTATATTTGCAATTTAATCACAACACCCACTCCCAAACACCTCGTGGAAATCTCTCTGCTTCTGAGCGCTGCCCACCACCTTTTCAGCATCCTCTGCCGGGAAAATCTCAGCAACCCAAGTTTGATACGCCTTGCCTTCAGTGGACGCACTGTCCTCATTTGGTGTGAAGATATTTTGGTTGGGACGGATCTCAGTCCACTAACGAAAGTGAGGATGAAAACCGCTGCGATATGCCTCGCTCCTCAGGCAGGCTGTCCAGGACCATTGCTCACCTGACTTTTCAAGAATTTTCAGCAAGTGAATCTTCATGGACTCAATACTAGTGAGCCTCCCTTCTCTCCTTTCTTTCCCTTTCCCCTTGTTAACAAGATATTCTAGGTGAACAAAGTCCCTTCATATGCACCCAAGTCCAGGAACATGCGAGGAAAAAATAACTGTTGTTCACAGCCTTGCCTTGTTATTCTGCTGCTGTTAGTGCTAGTACGCATTTGAAATTGTTGTGTGTCCACACCAATACTGGACGAGAAACCTCAACAGACCCGCATCGTCGCAGCAACCAGCCTGGCAGATGGCCCTTGACTCTGGTAGTCGGGCACTGAGAGGCTGCGCGTCTTGCCCGATGGAGCTCTTTCATCCCGAGAGCAAGACTCAGGTATGTTTCGAGAAATCAAAACAAAATATTTTGTTTCTGCTCCTTCCCAAAATCATCTAATAACGAGCAGCCTTCCTCATCACCAGCTGCGGCTGATCAACCTGCTGCCAATACACCGAAGCTCGCATTCTCAACAACAATGCCAATGCCGTACCAGAAATTTGGTACCAGACGCTTCCGGTCTGCGGACTCCTCCGACGAGATCCAGAGAAAGAGCCTTTTTGGTCTCTTCGGTGGCGATAAGGAGAACCCAGGAGCTGGAACTACGCCGGTTGCTTCCTCGTCGCAAGGAACATCGAATTCGACCGACATCTCAATGGCACCCTCTGAGCGACTCGACATGATGATTGCTCCCATCGATGGTTTTCAAGCCGAAAATGGCGCCCATATTGATCAAAATGCGTCTCCAAATGGCGTCACCGATCAACTGGCTTCTGGCGACAAGAACACGCCTGAAATCGCTTCTCCGACGGCCAATAACTTCAGCCATATCACCAGCCTCACTGAGCACATCAACATTGCCAACGCCGATGCCAAGTCTGAGAATGGTGAAAGCTCTGAGCCTGACGATCACAGCTCGACCCAGATGAGCGAGAAAAAAGCTGGAAAGCTTCCAATCTACCGTCACAAGCGGACCGACACTGCAGTGAAGATCGTTGACAGAGAGTCGGCTGACGCTGTCCTGCTCCCATCCTCGACTTTCAGTCCCGTCAAGTCCATGCGTGACACCTTTTCGACACAGACTGAGGCAAATCCTACCCTTCTTCACTCGAGCCACCTTGGTGAGACTCTCGCCGCGAACAAGCCAGCCGAGAATACGGTGCTTCTGCCGTCCGTTTCTTACGCCGTCTCGCATCTTCCCCCTCGCGCTCTTCCCAAGATTCCCACAGAGAAGCAGAAGCCGGATGAGGTCCCTCCTCTCCCCTCTAGTTCATACGCCAGCCCCAGTTCCTCGCATGGCGTTCTCAAGACCTCTGGAGAGGATAAGAAGGCTACCGACAAGAAGGTCCACTTCAGTGAGGACGACGATGATGACGATGGATACAGTTCAGACAACTCTGACAAGACTGTGATTGCTGGCGAAAACGGATTGGTAGCGGCAGACAATTCGTCCCTGTCCCCTGACATTTGGAACGAGGAGTCGAAGCCCAAGATCTATCTGAAGAATGGCAAGCCGACATTGTTTCAGCCCACAGCTGAGCCCGACTACTACACCAATCCTCTCTGGTCTCGCCAGTACCCAGAGATTCTCTCCGACGACCCCAACGTCAACCCTTACGCCAAGGACTACGCGGACAGCCTCATATCTCAGGATGGCAGCGAGTCCTCCTTCACTGATGAGACCAGCGCGAATACTGCGTACAACACAGGCCCTCGTGTACATCTTCCGTACCCAGGTCGTGGCCACCAGGACATCCCCCCCGATCCTCCGGGATTCGTCTACCCGCCTCCTTACAAGAACAAAATCGTCATCATGGTGGGAGGCCGTCAGTTCGTCTCCAGCGCGAACGTCCTCGGACGAAGCCCCTGGTTCGCCCACCTTTTCTCCCTCCCCATCTCTCAGTGGTTTCGCGACGGCGCTTTCCACATTGACAACGACCCGGACCTCTTCAGCCACATAATCCGCTACCTCCGCACCGGACAATACCCCTTTTTCTGGTGCGAGCGCAACGGTTTCGACCACGCCATGTACGCCATGATCCTTCAGCAGGCGCGCTTCTATCTCCTCCCACAGCTGGAGGCCTGGATTATGAAGAAGAAGTACATGGACGTCGTGCATTCCGGGGTCAAGCACCGCAAGCTCACGATGCTTGAGTCCGAGGACTGGGTCCACACGGTGAAGCTCAAGCGTGGCGATGCTTTCGAGATTGTGGGCGTCACCTCTACGTCTGGTAAATCTGGTTTATGCCATGGATATTGTGGGGCTAGCCATTACGAGGAAGGTCTGGATCAGGACGAACAAATGGATGAGCAGATG